ACAAACTAAGACCCAGGCAGAGTTCACTAGTTCAACAGAAAATAAACACCCTCTGGGACTGGGAAGAGGTTAGCCGGACTCCGGTTTCAAGGCTGTCACAAGAGCTGGCTCCCTCCCACTTTAGGCTCCCAGATGATGCAACCCAGGACAGCTGTGGACAGACGGGCAGTGAGGTGGAGAACAGGAAGGACAATGAGGTGGAGGAACAGGAAGGGCAATGAGGTGGAGGAACAGAGCAGGAGCCTCCTCTCCTGAAAGACCCCTGGGCCTGACCGGGATGGGCGTGCCTGACCACTACTGCCCTGGAAGCAGGTGGGCGTCAAGGAGGGGGGGTGATCAGCACTGGGCCCTGAGCCTGCCGTGGTGTCACCTTGGCCCGACACTCCCCACTGGATGCTGAGCAGGGCTCACCTGTGTAGGACACCTCCACATCAGCCAGTGCCTTGAGGGTGCTCTCGTAGGAGACGTCCTCAAACTTCTGTGAGCCCACCTGGTCGTACACGTGCTTGGTCTGCTCGATGAGCTCCTTGGTGAGCACCTCGATCTGCTGCGCGCTCAGGTCCCACCTCAGGTAGTTCACCACAGAGCAGGGGGTGGCCGTGTCCAGCACGTCTCCTGCACAGGCTGGACAGAGAGAAGCCAGCACCAACCATGTCTGAGCAAACCTACACTCAGGGTCAAAGTGACCCAGGGGTCTCGTGGAGAAGCACAGACTGAGGTGAGTCTGTCCTCTCAAGTCCCTCCAGGGACACTAGGCAACATCTGGGGACATTTGGAAGGGACGCCGCTGGCATGGACTGGTGGAGACTAGGGATGTGCTCAACACCCCACAGTACCCAGGACACCCAGCACACAATGTCAACTGCACCACTGCTAGAAACCCTGCCTGGAGACCCAAGCACCTCAGAGTTCCAGGTTAACAGAGAGGAGGAGCTAGACCCCGGGCACTCACTGCTCAATTCCCACCATGCCAGAGGACGAAGAAGGCAGGAAGGGGGATTTCCTAGAGAAGCCCCTTCTACTGCTCCCTCCAGGCTTCACACCCAGGTGTGGAGCATGGGCTCCTAAAAGCTCATTAACTCAGTAAGCTCTTCAGGAGGAGGTGTGGCCCCACAGGTGCTGCAGGAGTACGAGGGGCCTCGTCCACCCACTCCCGTGCCTCCCTGAGAAAGAGGTACATAAAATGACCTGCCAGGTGACCATGCAGGAGGGCAAGAGGAACTGCTTGTGGCTGGGCACAAGCTAAGCAACTCAGTGACACCTTGTGTGTAAAGAAAATACAAAATAGGCCTGGGGGTGTGACTCAATGATGGAGCACCCTGAGTTCAATCCCTGGTACCAAGAAGAAAAAAAGAAAATCAAGCCCCCCCCCACCCTATTTTGGAAAAGTAATACAATAAGTACATAGTCCATACATTATAACATCTAAATAGAGTGGAGAAACACCTAATAACCAAGTCAGTCTTTCTGCAGTGGAGCAAGGAAATGAACACTAGGATTCCTCTCTCCTAGCACTGAACGTGGAGCTGGACAGTCTCTGGGATGGGCTGCCCTGGATACTGAAGTGTGTGAAGCAGCATCCCTGGTCTCCACTCATTCCATGCCAGGAACACCCGCCCCAGTCATGACAGCCACAAGTGTCCCCAGGTGGCATGAATGCCCCAGTTAACCACTGAGAGGCTGAGAAAAAGGAGGTGCATCAGTCGGACTTTCTGGCCAAATGACTGCTGCAAACTTCAAGCAAATCTTGTTCATGGAGCAGTTTTAATTTAAAAACTGCAGAAAGGGAACCGTGCACCCATATTAAAACTTGTGGTCAAGCAGAGTGTCAGGAGCTCAGGGAAGATGGAGAACAATGGGAACTGGAATTGCCAGGAAACTCTCCCAGAGGAGCAAGGATCTGAGACCCTGTGGAAGTCCACTCAATCTGTAAATATTTACTGGCTGCAGCCTCCGTGCTGGGTCTCTGAGTTAATGATCCAGCAGCAAACAAGGCAGACAACATTCCTGCCTCCCTGAAGCCTCAATTGGCCTAATTATTATTATTAACGTTTACCATGTTTATTGGGTGCTGGAGAAAGAACTGGGGGAGGACAGCCTGCATAAGAAAATTCAAGGATATAAACAAGGAGGCACCACACAACCTGAGCGATTCTCTAAAATACAGAGAACAGGTCACATTGCTCCCCTGATGAAAACCCTTCCAACAGTGCCCCTTTGCCCTTAAAAGGAAAGAGTTCCCAGGTGCCTGTTTTAGGCAAAATGACTCTCAAAACGCTGGTGTTCCAGGCTCCCCGCCTATGCCCTGGGGGTCCCTCCGTCCGGAAGGAACCCTCCCTAGCTTTGGCAGGCAGCTCCTCCTGCCCTAGAGTCCAGGCTACAAGGCCGCCACCCCAGGGGGCCCTCCAGGCCCGCCTCTGTACAGGGGGCTCCCCGAGACCGCCTGCTGCACGCCACCGACCCCCATCTAAAGTCCTCGTTTGCACGTTAACTTCTGAACGACCGATTTCCCTGCAGAACTCCAGAAGGACGGGGCGCTGGTCCTAATCACTGGCCCCCCGCGCCCCGGAGTCCGCCCCAGGGCCCGACCCGTCCACGGGGGAAGCTCGCGAAGTTTGCGAATTGGATGAAGCGCTGGAAAAGTTGTTTCATTCATTCGGCAGACCAGGAGGCAGGGTCAGCCACCAACTGCCCGCCATTCTGGGCTCAGGGTCACTGGGCTCGGGTCTCAGGCCCAAGTCGCGATCCCGGGAGACGCGCGGGTGCAGGGGACGCCGGGGTCCGGCGAGCTGGGCCTCGGCGAGAAGCGGCTAGTACCTGCGGGGGGCTTCATGGCGGGCGGGTCTGCTCCGGCGGCACCCTCGCTGCAACCGGCCAGCGTCCACCAGCGTCCTCAGCTGAGGTGGACACCTCCAGCGCCTCAGGTCCGCTGCCGCCGTCGGCCGCAGACTGAGGCGCCCGCCGCCCGCGCGCCCAGGGCATGCTGGGAGGGCGCGTGCGCAGGGACCACAGGGCGCAGGCGTGCCGGAGCTCCGCCCACACCTCGAGGCCGCCGACCCGCTGACGCTCCACTCTACGCACGCGCTGCAACCCTCCCGGCCCATCATTGGTCCTCAGAGGTGGATGGGCGGAGCTACCGGCTACACCCATCCAGAACCTCGCGGTCCACTGGGAAAGAGCGTTTCCGTGGAAACCGCACACACCTGTGGCTCTGAAGCGTTCCTGCCAGTTCTTCACCTGGGCTTCAGACGCCTGTGTTCATTTGTACTTTCCTGCTGGCTTGCTTCCTTCCTCCTTCCTTCCTTCGTTTCTTGCGATTGAACCCAGTGGAGCTTTACCACTGAACTACATCTCCAGCCCTTTTTATTTTTCGAGACAGGGTCTGGCTATGTTGCTGAGGCTGGCCTTGAATTTGGGATTCTCCTGCCCCCACCTACCGAATCGCCGGGATTACAGCCGTGGCCATCACGCCCGGCTGCCTCCTTTTTACAATTGTGTATTGAGTTGTTTTTATAAGCTTTCTCCCTCCTAGGGGCTCCCCCCACTCCGGGGATGGAACCCAGGGCCTTGTGCATGTGATGCAGGCACTCTACCAACTGAGCTGTATGCCCAGCCCTCTTAGGGGCCTCTTGTTATGGATCGCTTATAGTATCCCAAAACACTTTTTGTAGGTTATTTCCTTCCTAGTATCCGGTCCGGCTTCCAGCATCTAAGTAATAGTGTAGGTACCCTAAGTGTCAACCGAATGTGGTTCATCAATTTAAGAAACCACAGTTAAAAAGAAAAAAAAAACAAACATAAGACAGAAAGTATAATCAAGAAAGTGTCAGTAAAGAAGCCAGGCTAGGAGGCACAGGCCTGTAATCCCAGGGACTCACGAGGCTAAAACGGGAGGATCGAAAACTCCAGACCAGCCTCAGCAATTTAGGGAGATCTTGTCTCAAAATAAAAAATAATAGTACCAAAAAATAGTAATTTTGAGAAGGATGAGGAACGTGGCTTAGTGGTACCATTGGGTTCAATCCCTGGTACCAAAAAAAGAAAAAGAAAAAGAAAGTGTTAGTAAAGGGACCCATGACCCCATGACTTCATATCACAAGTGTTTTGAAACAGTGCATAAGCTGACCTATATCCAGTGATGTTCTCTGTTAATCTTGAACTGTCTGGGGGGTGAGGGGACATTGATTGTACATGTATCTTAACTAGGATAAAAATGAATTGAGGGGGCTGGGGTTATGGCTCATCGATATAGTGCTCGCCTAGCACTTGTAAGGCCCTGGATTCGATACTCAGCACCACATAAAAATAAATAAACAAAATAAAGGTATTGTGTACAACTAAAAAATAAATATTAAAAAAAATGAATTGAGGGCTGGGGATATAGCTTGGTCAGTAGTGTGATTGTCTGGCATGCACAAGACCCTGGGTTCAATCCTCAGCATTCCCCCCAGCCTCCGAATAAAAAAAAAAAAAAAGAATTAGGAATTGGGAGAACATTGGCAACTTTAATACCAACGGTGGTAATCTCTTGAAAACACTAAATTTAACTCTACATCCGTCTCCATTGTCACTGTTCCCTATGCTTGGGGCTTTTCCCATCTTTCAATACAAACATAAAGAAGAGGTCATCCTCACCTTCCAAGGCAGCTTAGCTCCCCAAGTACAATGACATCACACCACATCACACCATTTTTTTCCTTTAATTCGCAGACATTAAACGAATGAAAGAATGCACTTGTGGGTGAACCGGGTGATGTGTGGATGAATAAATGAACAAACAGAAGTCGACAGTGACCATGGAGAGCCCATGACACTCCGGATGCCAGGTGCCGAAACTCGGCTGCACCACAAATTTCTCTCGCACAGCCGACAGGGTCCGCCGCCGTCCCACCATGCACCGCTCCGCCCCAGCTCCGGCGGGCTGACAGCACTAATTTCCGGCCTCCATCAGTTGCCCTAACGACCAGCTTGCTCCCGCCTCCAGATTGCGTCACTTCCTTCCACACCCGCCTCAGCCACGGACGCACCTGCGCAAAATGAAAACAAAAAAACGGAGTAGTCTTCTCCTGCGCGTGCGCCGCGCCCGGGGGCGGGGCCGAGCGGCGCCGCTGTGCGCAGGCGCAGCCGTCGGTGGGTCGGGGCTCGGTTGTCTCGCAGGTGAGTGGGGGCCCCCCGCTGTGAGCCGGGTGGGCCTGGACGTCAATGGCTGGCAGTTCCCGGGGCTCGGGAGCCCTTGAGAGATGGGGCGGTCTCGGCCGGCTTCGCTGCGTCCCAAGAGGTGCCGTGAGTGGGCGGCGCGGCGGGGAAACTGAGGCGCGCTGTCCGTCGCGGACCCTCGCCTCCCTGTCCCGGGTCCAGCCCTGGAGATGGTGGTCCGCAGGCTGTCGGCGGGGACCAGGCGGGATGAGCGCTCGCAGAGGGTTTGCTGCTGCCCCTGTTCCTGAGGCCTCCCTGGAAGCATGACCGCCTGGACGCGGGGACTCTGCTGGTCCCAGCGTCACCACTCCGTACCTGGGTGACCTTGGGCAGCGACTCGGCTGCCCAGAGGCTTACTTTCCCTTTCCGTAAGACGGGTGTTGTCACAGTCACCGTGACATTCTGGGCCGCGGGGCCCAGCCCGCCGTGGGCACCCCGAAGGGTTAGCAGTTGTTGGTGCTAGTTGGCATTAGGGCCTTTGGCATAGGATGCCAGAGGTGGGGGAAACCGAGAGCGAGGACCGGCCGGCCCCCCCGCCAGCTGTGTGAACCTGGGCAGGTTGCTTTCCCTCTCTGAGCAGATCTTTGCTTCTTGCCCACATAGTTGTAAAAGTTCCCGCCTTGCAGGGTCATTGTGAAGTTAAAGTGAAGTTAAAGAGTCGTTAGTCAGGTGCCAGGAACTCAGTAAGTACTTGCTGGAGACTGGCTGTTGTGGTTATGATGTGTCAGAAAACGCGTGTAGTAAGTCCTTTTGCCTAAGTGGTTTTCCTGTTTTTCGTTTGTTTCTGATTATTTGTTTTGTCACCTTTGGACCAGTGGTTCTCTACTGAGGGCAGTTTTGTCCCCCAGGGCATCCGGGGTGATGCCTGGGGACATCTGTGGCTTCAGACTAGGGCATGGAATGGGTGGAGGCCAGGGGTGCGGCTCAGCACCCTGAAGTGCTCAGGACAACACCCTAGAGAATGAGCCCACCCCAGGGTCCAGCGACAAGACTGAGAAACCAAGTATGGATTCAGCATGTGGATTCCAGCATTGGCTGCACCCCAGGAACGCAAATGATTATGGAACTCAGTCTCTTGGGTTCACAGAATCCCCCAGCCCAGGGGGTGTCAACTGGTGGTCATTCAGCCTCCAGGAAACACTGGGCCATGCCTGGGGACATTTATGGTTGTCACAACAGGTTGCACTCCTGGCACAGAGGGGGGGTCAAGGCTAGAGATACTATTCAGCACCCTTGATAATGCCCAGGATGTCTGTCCCAGAGAGTAACCCAGCCCAGTGTGCAAATACTGCTGCTGTTAAAAACATATTCTAGGCCAGTGGCTCTCCCCCATTATGGCCTGTGGGAGATTTATGGACCCCTGGAAGTATGTGCGGCTTTTGGGTTTGTGTGTGTGTTTCTAATTGTGCGAGGCAAGGAAAAGCACAGGAGTCAGACTGCCTGGATTCAAACCTCCTGACGTGTTATCATAGCTGCAGCCTTGGGTGGTCCAGGGAACATTCTAATCCTCAATTTTGTTTTCTGTAGAATGGGGGATAGAGTAGTAAACTCCTCGAGTGACTGAGGGTTAAGCCACCAGCGTTGATCAGAGAGCCAAACCCTGTTGCAGCCCGTTTTTGTGAATGAAGACGTATGGGAGCTCAGCCAGCCTCCTTGGAAGGTTCACACTGGTTCTGTGCGTGGATCGGAGCTACAGTGGCTGGATGGAGTGGTTACCACAGAGCTCTTCCAGCCTGTGAGGCTGAAGGCTTTTAGTGCTCTGCCTCTTTCAGAAAATGTTTCCTAATCCCTGCAAAGTGCCCTCATGTGTACAGTGGGTCACTAGGTATCTGGCAAGTGCTGAGCAGGCCAGGAACTTGAGCAGCATCTACCCTTAAATCTTCCTGGAAGGGGGAATGACTCCTGCGGGTTCTTCTCCACTCCAGGTTAGAGGCTGCGCCCTACGCTCCTCCCTCGCTGTCTACACAACTGCACGTTCTTGCCGGGACGTTGGCAGCGAGGGCGTAGGAGGAACTGTGGGTAGGCAGCAGGACAGCTCTCATTCTTTACTAGGAGGAAACCAAGTGCCAGAGAGAGGCCACTTCCCCAGGGAAGTCAGGCCCAGGGCTTGAGTCTACTGGTGACTTCCCCTGGTCCGGATCAGACACTGCCAAACACTGGGGCCCGGGGAGGTGGTCCAGGGACTCACAGCCTGGTGTGGGGAGCAGGTGTGAGGATCAGGACCCAGGATTGCAGGAAGTGAGGTTTCTTCCTGAGTGTGTGGGTGGAAAGGCCAGCCAGCCCTGGAGGATGTGTGGACCCCACCCCCACGTCAGGTGACACCTGGTGGCAAAGGGCCTCATGGACACCCTCATGAAGGTTTTTACATGCACAGTGACGTCCTAGTGGCATTTCAGAAGAGAACAGGCTCTGACCCTGGGAGTGCATGGGGACCCAGTCAGAACCCCAGAGTACCAGGGTGGGCGCAGGAGCAGAGCACCCCACTGTCAGGAGTCTGCAGGGTGGGGCGGGGCGGGGTGGCAGAGCGTGCCCAGGAGGGGCGTGGCAGCGGGTGCTTCTCGCTGGACTCCAAGGTAGGAAGCCACCTTAGGACAGGCCATTTTCTTCCTTCAGTGATTAACCTGGGAGGAAGGTAAACGCGCAGAGGCTGTGCTATTACGTTGTTTCAGCTAAAACAGGAGGTGGCCACTGGCCACCGAAGGGGCTGGAGCTCACCCTGGGACCCCGGCCCACCTCCCTCCTGCGCCTGTGGACCAGCCCTGCAGTGGTCCTGGGCTCATAAAGCCCTCACTGTTCCCGCCGAGCAGGCCTCCTTTGGGAAGTTTGTCCGACAGCCAAAACCCTACAAGCCGTGATTGTTCAGAGGAGATGGGTGCGTGGCAGCGGGCATGCAGGCCGCCCTCCTGGGTCCCTGGACTGGCCCTCTGTAGGGAAGAGCTTTGTTGGGGTTGAAGTCAGATTTAGGAACCACGTCATGTCCACCCTGAGCAGGGTGAGGGACATAGCAGGTCGTGGCCCAGCTGGGCCTCGCGGTGCAGGGCTCTGCACCTCCTGTGAGTCCACAGGCCCGGGCCGCCTGTCCACAGTCCTGAGGTCCAGGGGGCTCTGCAAGGGAGGTTCTCAGCGCTCCTGTCTGGAAGTCATTTGGCCAGGGAATCTGTCTGTCCTGACCATTCTTCACCCAGGGCCAGGAGTCAATGTCTGGGGACATGTGTGGCTGTCACGGCAGGAGACGCTCCTGGCGTGAGTGGAGGCCAGGGACACTGCTCAGCACCCTGTAGTGCCCAGGACGTCCACCCAGCAGAACGATCCAACCCCAGTGTTCATGGTGCCAAGTGGGAGATGCTGGATTAATATTTTGGAAAAAAAAAAAGTCAACTCCCTGTTCCCACAGACGCAGAGAGCACTCGTGTGCGGCGACAGCACTGCCCAGGGCCTCAGCTGCGGGGCCTGACCTCCTCTCCTCCCGACTCAGTGTGGATTTCAGTGTGGGCAGCACCTAGGGCCTCAGCAGGGCAGATGCTTGAAGGACACTGGGTCTCTTGGTCCTTGAAATCCCCCATCTCAGGGGGTCTCAACAGGGGTGTGATCCTGCCCCCCAGGGGACACCTGCAGTGGCCCGGACCAGCCCACTAGAGTGACAGCTTGCCCTGGAGCAGCCGTGGCTTAGGTAGCCAGGGCTTCTCTCCTCCTTTGTGACACTTGTCCATAGGTGTGGTTTCCTGGAAGCGGAAACAGACCCGCGGGCACGTGCACCGCGCTGACCACGCCGTGCAGCACCGTCTGGCACCAGGCTGTTGACATGACCCAAGTCTTGTTTTAGTTCTGGGCATCGAACCCGAGGCACTCTTGCCACTGAGCCGTATCCCCAGCCTCTTTTTTTTTTTTTGAGATGAGGTGTCCCTAACTTTCTTATGGTCTCGCTAAGTTACTGAGGCTGGCCTTGCCCTTGAGGCCCTCCTGCGCCAGCCTCCTGCGGTGCTGGAGTCGAGGTGTGCACACCCTGCTGGCTGAGTGAAGCAGGGGCTGGATGACTCAGTCGTTGAAGGCAACGGGTCAGGAGGCCCACTCCTCATTTCCTAGGGTTCCAGGCTGTGCCACATCTTAGAGGAACCAACACACCTCAGGCATCTGATCTCTGGCCCCAGGCCTGCTGACTGTCTGGTTGTAGGCGAGGGGCAGGAAGGGCCCACAGCTGCCCTCAAGTGCCTGGCTCCTCCGGCTTGTGTGTTCTGGTCCAAGGCCCCTGGCATCACTGTGGACACTGGAACCAATTGTCTTCTGCGGTATGCATCCTAGACACTGTAGAATGCTGAACAATGTCCCTGCCCTCCACCCACTCCAAGCCAGAGCACCACCAGTCATAACAACCAGTTGTCCCCAGAATCTGCCTGTCCCTGGGGCAGAATCATCACCCATTGAGAGCTACCATTCTAGGAATGAAACCATCTGGAAACAGATGCAACCATGTTCGCTGCATAGGAGATGGGTAGGGAATCCACAAACCATCTCCATTTGTTAAAAATTCCCTGGGTGTGGTGGCCATGCCTGTCATCCCAGCTACTCAGGAGGCTGAGGCAGGAGGGTCTCAAGTTCCAGGCCAGCCTGGGCCACCTAGCAAAAAGCCTGGGGGTGTGGCAGTGGTGAAGCGTCCTGGGCTCAGTCCCCAGTGTGTGGCGGAGTCTGTTTCCTCTGGAGGCGGCTCCCCACTTGCTGACACGCACAGTGGGTGGTTCACAGGCCACAAAGTAGGTGCTCAGGTTTGCTACCTCCAGGCTCGCTCTCCAGTTTCACCCACAGGCACCTCGTGTGTGCGACCCTGTGTCTGGTCCACTGGACACCTGGGCACTTGAGATGAAAGGAGATCAACACGCACTTCCCTACAGAAGAGCTGCTTTCGCTTCTGGCTCCCGCGTCCCTGGTGGCACACAGCCAGTCACCCCTTGCAGGTGGACTGGTGCCTCTTTCGTCTGCATTGATGACCTGTGCGTCCCTCCAGGGTGGCCCTGGGCACGTTACCAGGCTCCTCTGCCTGAGTCGGCTGCCTAAAAATAGGACCGACCTGCTGTTGTGAGTCCAGAGCACGGGGCCCGTCCCCAGCGGTGCCTGGTTGGCCATGGCTGCGTAGCCAGGACCAGAGACCGCAGGGCTCCGTCAGAACTGAAAACCCCTTTTTATAGGGTCACCAACACAGGTCAGGCCCACCTGGTGCTTCATTTGAACTTGACTACCTCTGTGAGGACCTGATCTCCAGCAGTCACATTCTGGGGTCTTGAGGATCAGGACTCCACCCTGTGGAGTTTGGGGACACAGCTCAGCCTGCAAGGGCACCTGACAGTTGACCTGTGTGTGCGAGTGGTCTCAGGCACCAGACTCTGGGTGCCGTCCCAGCTCAGAGAACTGGGCCCTGGGCCTGGGCCTGGGCCGGTGCCTTCACTTTGAAGCTGGACCAGGGCTCAAAGCGGAGCAGCAGTCACCATGACGCAGCCGTAGGGAACCGAGCAGGGGGCCCCCAGCCCAGTGCCCACAGTTCCAGTGAAGCATCTCCCTACCCTGGAAACTGGTCTATGTCTCCTTCGCGTGGCTGGCCTGAGCCTCCAGTGCAAAACAGCAGCCCACTAGGTGCCGCAGGGACTGCACAGGCCCAGCCCTGGTGCTGCTTGTCCTACCACACGTTTGGTGCCCCTAGGTGGCACGCCGGGCAGCTGCACTGCAGGCCTGACCCTGCCCTGGGCCCTTGCCTGGCAGGCTGGTTTCACTGGCACCTGCCCCACAGGAGGCTGGGGCAGCCCTCGCGGGGCTTCCTGCCAGCACTGCTGAGGCCACTGTGGCTAAAGTCTCCAGGTTGGCCCAGGCCCCAGGACAGCCCGTCTGTAAGCTGCAGTTCCAGGTGCAGGGCTGGCGTACCCTCTGGGGCCCCTAGAGCTGTGTGGGGAAGGCGAGTCCCCATGAGCACTGGGAGCAGAGGCGCCAAGGAGCAGGGTGGTCCTTGGAACCCGGGTGGGGCACGAGTGTCCTAGAGAAGAGCCACACATTCTGATACTGACGTGTGCAGTCAGGGTGCCCTGGAAGAGGTGGACCCGGCTCTGGCCTCCGCCAGGCAGCCCAGCGCCCAGCCCTGGGACCAGGTCGTTCTGTGTACAGAGGCAGATCAGTGAATTGGGGTCCCCATCTGTGACATGCATAATGCTGCGGTCCTGCCTCTATCCCCATGAGATTGAGACTGCCCAGAACACGTGAAGTGGCCCTCACAGTGCAGTGGGCAGGGCCCAGCGAGTTGCGGCAGGTCTGGGTGCCTGCAGCAGAGTGAGGGGCTGGGGGAGGTTCCCCGTCCCCACCACTCAGCACACCCTCTCTGCGTGCACCACAGATCCTGAACCTCGGGCGTCTCCCCCTCCCGTCTCAAGATGGATAACAAGAAGCGCCTGGCCTACGCCATCATCCAGTTCCTGCATGACCAGCTCCGGCACGGGGGGCTCTCTTCGGATGCCCAGGAGAGCTTAGAAGGTATGCAGGCCCCTGTCTACCTCCTGCCCTGGCGGGGGGACCCCAGCCCCCGCTGCACTGTGGACAGGTGAGTGTAAGGCGGCCTCCCGCTGCCAGGCCTAGGTACCTGGCCTTTCCTCAGCTCTCAGGTAAGTTTTAGCCAGAGAGGGGCAGAAGCCCATCCAGGGGCCAGTGCCCATCTGCTGGCCCAGCTCTATTTTCTGGCTGTGGGCCAAGTCCCCTTCAGGAGCATTTCATCTCCCAGACATCATCCATTGAGCTGGTTCCAGAATGTTCCCAGCCCTTCTGGGCACGTTTGTGGGAGAAGGATTCTCCTTGGCTCCCTGCCCCAGGTTCCCAGCCCACTGGTCCCCAGCGAGAGCTGAGCGTCCTCCCCTTGCGTGGTGCCAGGTGTGGGAGGGAGAGGACGCCTCTGGGAGCAGCCTTGGTGGCCTGTGTCTGCTCCTGTGGAAGTGCTGTGGAAGCCCACAGGGCAGGGGGCTCTGGGGGCCGGCCGTGGCCATCTGCACACACCCTCCGGGTGAGGGCAGTGGGGCTTAGTGGGGCCCGGGAGGAAAGAGCCCAGGGACGCTGTGGGACCTGCCCTGGGGTGGGTGGCGCCACAGCATGGATGCCACCTGGGAGGAGATGGCGCCCTCCTTCCCTCCACTCCAGCTGGTCAGCCCCTGGGTCCAGGCGGCCGGAGGGCTCCCTGCTGCTGGGGATGGGGGGTGAGCCATCCTGCACATGGGGTCTGGCTGTGGGGCCAGAGAACTTGAGCTGCTGACCCTGGCCAGGTTCCCCTGGAGTCCCGCAGTGCCCCTGGGCACTCCCCCCATACGGCCCTCCAGGCCAGACCAGGCCCACCACCCCTCCGCCAGGTGGCCTCAGCATTGTGACTCCACAGAGAGCCCTGAGGTCAGCCACCTGAGCCCACATGGCTTCTCCTGCTGGCAGGTGTGGGCACATTGTCCACCCCAAGCGTCCAGGCTTTGAGGTGGACCAGAACAAAGGGAAGCCCGTCCGGAGCCTGCGGGCCCGGGCGGTGGGTGAGGGGCCTTTGTGAGTAGACACGGCGGAGAGGACGTGTGAGCCCCTAGGCCCGAGGACCCCCGGCGTTGCCCTCCCAGGGCTGGTGGCCTCCAGGAACACCCTCCTCCCCCGCAGTTGCCATCCAGTGCCTGGAGACCGCCTTCGGGGTGACGGTGGAGGACAGTGGCCTGGCACTTCCCCAGACTCTGCCAGAAATATTTGAAGCAGCCGCCACAGGCAAGGTGAGCCCCAGGCTTCCCCCACCTCACCCCAAAATGAGGACAGCAGCAGCGGAACGTCTCAGGGTGCCGACTGCTCCCCACCAGCTCGGAGTCGGAACCCAGGCCCGGGGGCGCTGGCCATCCTCATGCTGTGAGCAGGGGCCAGTGGTCCCAGTCCCTCCCCAGGGCCCTGCAGAGGGCCAGGAGCCTCTGAGCGGGGACTGCCAGGCTGAGGCTGCAGGGCTGCCTGAGCACACGGGCACCTTCCTCGGGCAGGAGATGCCACAGGACCTGAGGAGCCCTGAGCGGACCCCGCCCTCCGAGGAGGACTCGGCAGAGGCAGAGCGCCTCAAAACCGAAGGTGAGGGCAGGTGGCCGGTCAGGAGGTGACGCTGGAGGGCAGTGGTCAGCGAGCTGGCCCGGGGGGCCGCATGGGGCAGTAATAGAGCGCAGCTCTCAGCACAGCCAGCGCGAGTGTGGGTGGCACGGCCACCGTGGGAGGCACGGCCACCGTGGGAGGCAGGCGCCCACTCCCTCGGGGCCTGGGGTGGTTTCTCTGATGGGCCGTCTGCGTCGGGCGGACTCTGCAGTCACCCGCACAGCAGCCAGGCAGCCAGGGGAGCCACAGGTGTCCCTCAGGGCATGAAGGGACACATAGCACAGTCCATCCACCATGGGGTGTCCTTGGCCAGGGCAGGAGCCAGGTAACATGGCTGTGGCTCATGCTCGGTGAAAGCCAGACAGTCCACAGTCAGAGGCAGGCAGGGGCTTCGTGGATGTGGCGACTGGGAGGGGACTGGGGACTGTTCGTGGAGGCAGTCTTTCTTTTTTGTGTGATGGAATGTTCTGGACTGGATAGAGGTGATAGTCACGTAACGCGCTGAACATAGGGAAAACCACTGAGCTCCGTCACCCAGGACGACAGGCACAGCCACAGGTGGTTGATGCCCCCTCCTCCCTGTTGGAACGGGGACCAGGCCTCGGAGGACAGCCAGGTGCTGTGAGGTTAGCAGAGAGTCCAAGACGTGGCTGTCCCTCTGTGCCACCGGGCTCCCCATCTGCAGAGTCAGCCAACCCCACATCATAACAGTCAAAAAACAGGCATCACACTGGCCACCACAGTGTCTCCTTGCTGTCCGTCCTCCTGAACGACACGGCCTGGCCGCTCTTACCAGAGTGCTCATAGGGCCACCTGGGGATGCCGTGGCGTCTGCCGGAGGAGGTGCCATCTGTGCTTGAGCACCTGTGATTGTGGTGTCGTGGGGGTTCTAGATCCGGTCTCCCCAGGACACCAGGGGATGGCTCTGCTCGCTGGCCTGGGCCTCCTGCCGCTCACGTGCAGAGCTGGAAGCTTGTGCCCGGAGGACCCCATGTAGCTCCAGCAGTTCCTGAGCGGGACCTGAATGTTGATCCTGCCCTGTGATCGGAGCTCGGGCGAGCCAGGGTCACACCCGTGTCCCCAGGTCTGCTGTGACACGCTGGGCACACACCTTTCTTTCCTTTTAGGGAATGAGCAGATGAAGGTGGAGAACTTCGAGGCCGCCGTGCGTCTCTACGGGAAGGCCATTGAGCTCAACCCCGCCAACGCCGTCTACTTCTGCAACAGGTGCCACGGGCCGGGCACCAGGAGGCTCAGCGTGCGGGGCCAGGGAGCGCAGGCACAGCAGATGGGCTGGTCTACCTGCGCCTTGGGAGGAGGGAGGTCAGGAGGTGGCCTCCTAACCTGTGGTTGGGTGGTACGACTGTCCACACCATGCCAGGAGCGGAGGCTGGCCTTGGGAGAACGTGTCACGCGTTTGCCGTGGGCTTTCTGATGGTGGTGAGTGGCAGTGTTTGGCCTCCATTTTTGTCTCATGTGGTGTTGGGGACAGACCCTGGGTCCTGTATGTGCCACCGCCTGCTCTGCCATGGCTACATCCTGACCCTGGCCTGTTTTTGGAGGAAAAGCCAGCTGCCCTGGCAGAGCCTCACGGTGTAAGGCGCAGTCTCGTGGAGCCCGTCCTGGCTGGGGAAGGTGCGGAGCTGGACAGAGAGTCCGGTGCCAGGCCGTGGAGCAGCCGCGCCCGAGTGTGTCCATCACTCGCGAGTCCCCTGCGTGGGCCTGGCTGCTTTCCTGGGATTTGTTCTTTTACCGTTTTGTTTTGGACTAGTTCTGGGTTTTCAGGAAAGTGGCAGAGATAGGACAAGTAGAGCACGCAGACGTTCTGAGGCCCCACAGCCTGGACCCCGGCCCAGGACACCTCAGGTGGGGATTCCAGACCTGGCCTCCTGTGAAGGGTCACAGTCAGAATACAGGCACGACAGTGCGATTGACAGGGAGTGTAAGTGGCCTTGGGTCCCCTCCTCAGGATGCCTCGTGGCGTCGGAGCTGTTCCAGGATCTGAGGGAACTGTCCCCAGCCTCTCGGGTGGGGTGCTGGCTCTGTACTGAGGCCCCCGCCGCCCCTCGGCCGCCACAACCCTGCTCCCCAGCACCTCCCCTAGCGCTCCCCTCTGTCGGAAATGAGCCCCGCAGAGGCTGCGCCAGGAGCCTGGCAGTTGGAGAGCGGCCTCTGCCGCTTAGCAAGGCACTGTCGCAAAGCGAAGCCCAGGTTCACTGAGAGCTTGTGAGGAGCCTGGGAGGGGGTGGCGCAGGACTGAGGCGTGGCCAGGTGGCTGCAGGTCCTCCCCTCCTCCTGCACAGGTTAGGGGCCCCCTGAAAGCCAAGGTGAGAGGATTTTCCTGCCCCGCTGGCCTTGTTCCAGAGCGCACACTGCACAGCACTCGCTCAGTGCGGTGCGGGGAGCTCTGTCTATGTGCCCTTCGCCTCAGGTGGGTTCCTCAGAGGCCCAGCACTCAGCCTCGGCCCCGGGCCTGCACTCGGGGTTGCAGTGCACCCCCCGGATGTGGGGGCCGACTGTTTCTTCCCTCGCACGGAAGAAAAGGGGCGAAATAGAAAAGGTCTCCAGCCAGACTGGCTGCTGGAGGGTGGGCAGGAGCTGTCTCTGGCCAGGTCCTGTGTGGCCTCCCACCTGGTGAGGAATGGGTTCTCTTGCCCCCGTGACAGACGAGGAAATCAAGGCAGAACTGGGACATGGCCAAGCAGGTGGCGTCAGTGCCGTGCTCTCTCCTCCTCCCTCAGCACGCCTGTGGGCGCACTGGCCTCTGGTGTCCCCATGAGTGGGTAGTACCTGGGTGGCAGAATCTGGTGATGTTGGGTGCAGATCTGGTGCTGAGGCCCCATGTGCCAGGGCCATCTCCAGGCCACACCCCTCCCTGCCCACAGGCTGGTGCCCGGGTGTCCTGGCCCTCTGCGTCCTGGCTGGCCTGTCGCCACCCCCTAGCTCTGGGGCTGCCTGCAGGAGCCGCCTGCCTTTGTCCCTGCAGAGCCGCAGCCTACAGCAAGCTGGGGAACTACGCGGGAGCCGTGCAGGACTGCGAGAGGGCCATCTGCATAGACCCGGCCTACAGCAAAGCCTACGGCCGCATGGGGTGAGTGGCTGCGGGGTCCTGGTCCCTGGGTGGCAAGCTGCCTCACCAGCTCAGCTCCACACTGTCTGGGGTGGCTCGACCCCGTCTTTGGGCACCAGCCGTGTACCCCACGTCTGAAGGCGGCTGGGGGTCCAGAGCTCCCGGGGCCCTGCCCTGGGCCTGGGCCGCGCATGGTAGCAGCCGGGCAGCCTGCAGAGAAGAGTAGCCAGACGCCCTGGGTGGGCTTCAGGGGCCCAGCACAGGAGCCCCATCCACGCAGCGTGGGGCACAGAGTTCCTGTCCTCTTTTTGGACTGTTGTGGTCAACTGCCCCCTGCCAAGGCTGCCTGGGGGCTGCCTGGGCACTGACACTCAGGTGTCCCAGTGTTTCAGCAGCTGTGTGCCAGCAGTGTGCATGAAGGCCAAGCCCAGTCTTTGGGACCATGACATTTGAGTGACGTCCTCCCCTCCCTGCACCTCAGGAGGAGGCACTGTGTGTGCCGTAGGGGGCCCTTCTTGTGGGCCTGGGCTCCTGACCGTCTTCTCAGACACCCCGGAGCCCCTGCAGGCGGTGTGCCCCCGCCCAGCCCAGGCAGGCAGACCTCGGGACGCTGGCGGCTGCCCGGCCCTTCAGCAGCCCCTTTCCCCGCAGCCTGGCGCTCTCCAGCTTGAACAAGCACACCGAGGCCGTGGCCTACTACAAGAAGGCCCTGGAGCTGGACCCCGACAACGAGACCTACAAGTCCAACCTCAAGATAGCGGAGCTGAAGCTGCGGGAGGCCCCGAGTCCTGTGAGCCGGGGAGGCTGCGGGTGTGGGCCGGGGCCTGGCCGACCCGGGGTTCTTGTGTTCACGCATCTGACTCGGGCCCGGGAAAGGCTGTCACACGGAAAGAAGTTGACACCCAAACCCGGGAAATGGGCAGCATGGCCTGGGTCAGGTGGCCAGGGCCCTGGTGTGACCCCGCTGGGTGGCAGGCTCGGGCTGGCTGCTTTGGCTCATTCAGCCACCCGGGCACCGTGGCCTGGTGAGGCGGAGCCCACGAGGGGGGTGCCCCTGAAAGGCCCTCTCTGGGCAGGGTTGGCCCTGCAGGTGGTCAGCCCAGGGAGCTGCCCCTGCAGGCGGCCAGCCCAGGGTGCCACGGCGCAGGAAGGCCTGGCACCTAGCAGGCTTCCCCCAGAGTGCTGGTCACGGCTTGTGCCAGGGGCGGCCCCCCTTGGTACTCAGGCTAAGGGGCCGCTGAGCCCCGCAGGGCTCTCACCCCTCAGGCCCTAGGGTTGCTGGCCATGGTCCTGTGTCCGGCCACCACTAACCAGTGCTTTCTTGTCTCCAGACAGGAAGTGTGGGCAGCTTCGACATCACTAGCATGCTGACCAACCCAAGCTTCGTGAGCATGGTAACAGCCCCGGCTCCCCGCCCACAGCCCCTACCCAGGGCCAGGCTCACAGAGTCCAGGAGGTGACCCCCAGCTCCCCGTGTGGTAGAGAGTGCAATAGAAGTGTATGGCCGTGTCCATCTCCTGGGGTCCAGAGGAGATAATGCAGGGTCCCAGGTGCCACTTTCCAATGCCAGTACTTCTGCTGTGAAAGGGACATGAGCCTGTGGTAGTGCACCTAGTAGCCTGTGGTAGCCAGGACCCTACAGAGCCATCCACACTGCACCACGCTCCCTGAGGGCCCACCCCCTGCCACGCACAGGGCCTGCAGCCTCGGGCTGTGGTGACTGGCGCACTGCTAGGGAGGACACTGGGCACTACGGTGCACGCGGCATCTCAGGTGGAAGCTGTGGAGGAGGATGGGGGTGTGGCTCAGGGGTCAAGGCCCCCTGAGTCCAACGCCCAGCACCAGAAAAATGAAAAGAGGGGCCATCAGTGTCCTGGCAGCCAGAGGCTGTCGTCCCCAGAGCAGGCGGCGGCTGAGCAGCACTGCCGGGTGCCTCCCCTGCAGCAGAGGGCAGGGCAGCTGGGCCTGCCCTTGCAAGGCTCAGGCAGCAGTGGACGGTAGTCACAGTCCTGGCCTCATGGGTGTGGCAGGTCACGGCCTGCCAGCGGTTCTGTGAGGCAGGCCTCGTGGGCACGCAGCCACCCCACCCACACTGGCAGAGCCGCGTGCACCTGGGAAGGCGGAGGACACCTGCCTCCTGCCCGTTAGAAGGAGGCGCCAGCCTGGGAGCCGCCAGTCCCGAAGACCATCCCGTGCCCGGGCACACCCGGACACGCCCTGGGGCAGACGTGGGGGCTTGGCCGGGTGGGTGCAGGCAGCCGTGTGGCGAGACTCTGTCGCCCGCGAGGAAGGGCAGGGCTCCAGGTCTCAAGGCCCCTGGGTGCAGGTGGGAAGAGCTGGCCCTGCCACACAGGTGAGCAGACAGGCAGACGTGGGGGAGGGCCAGGTGGGTGGAATCTGGGGCTGGCAGCGTGGGTCAGTGGCTAGCGCTTCCCTCGCTGGTGGGGACCGTGAGAACTCGGGGTGGAGAGTGACTCCCCGACCCGTGTGTTTCCCCTCAGGCGTCAAACCTCATGAACAACCCGCAAGTTCAGCAGCTGTAAGTGACAACCCTTGTGTCATTGTGTGTGGGTTTCTTTTGTTGTGGCACAGTGTACATGACATAAACTTTGATTATTTTGAAAAATGAAGTACAGTGGCACACGCCTGTAATCCCAGTGGTTGGGGAGGCTGAGGCAGGAGGACCACAAGTTCAAGGCCAGTCTCAGCAACTTAGCAAGGCCTGTATCAAAATTCAAAGTATATTCTTTCTTAGTTGAAGCTTAACAGTTCCTGGTGTTAAGTATTCAGAGTGTCGGGGGCCAGCTTCCACAGTGTAACTCCTGGATACTCTGACCCCAGAGGAAGTCCCTTCCCAGCTGTCCCCCATCCCTTCCAGTCCTGCAAGTCCACGTCCCGTCTCTGGACTCCCCTGTCACTGGGTCACACGCCGTGGCCTTGTGTGTCTGGCTCTCACTGAGCACCAGGTCCTTGGGACCATCCACGCTGCAGCTGTCACTGTGCTCTTGCTGGCCGAGGACGCTCTGGGTATACGGGGTCAGGCTGTGCTGCCCATCTGCCAGCAGACCCCTGGCTTCTGCTCTGCGTCTCCCGAGGGGGTGGTGCTGCTGTGAACGGGGGGTGAGGGTCGGGGTCCCTGGTACGTGCCAGAGTGGCTGGCCGAGCACATTCTGCCAGGCCACTTTCTTCCCTCACCAAAGCTTGCTCTCAGCCACAGCAGGGTCCTCGGCAGGGCCGGGTGGCTCTCTGGGTGGCTCTCCGGTGGCTCTCCAGGTGGCTCTCTGGCACTGCAGCTTGCTGAGCAGCATCCCTGCCTCCACCTCTCCCTGCCAGGACACCCCAGTGCTAGTCACGGTCACCCCAGATGTCATGCAGTGTCCCTGGGGGCAGCCGCTTGGCTAAGACCACTACTGTGTTTAGGCCAGAACGGGGCAGTCCTGGGAGGCTGGGCTGGGGACCTGGGGTCTGCCCGGTGCAGAGAATCTGCCTGAGAAGGATGGACCTCCCAGGCCACACCCAGGGCCACAGGGGGAGGGCCGAATGGCCGTTGGCTGAGCCCTGCTGCTCTCCACAGTGTGTCCGGGATGATCTCCAGCAGCCACAACCCCCTGGGGACGCCCGGCACCAGCCCCTTGCAGAACGACCTGGCCACCCTCATCCAGGCGTGAGTAGAGCTGCTCCACGGGGCGCGGGTGGGCACACAGCACGTCCCTAGGCGCCCAGGGGACCTGGTGTCCTCGGCACGGAAGGCAGAGGCCCCAGGTCCAGTCTGGGCGAAGGAGGAGCTGGAAGCAGTGGCCGGCCCCCGCCAAGCTGCACTGTCCACACAGGGGCCAGCAGTTCGCGCAGCAGATGCAGCAGCAGAACCCGGAGTTGATTGAGCAGCTCCGGAGTCAGATGCGCAGTCGGACCCCCAGTGCCAGCAACGACGACCAGCAGGAGTGACCGGCAGGTGAGGCACGCAGGCAGGTCCTCCTGCCAAAGCCCGGTTTGCCCCGAGCTCCGAGGCCAGACAAGGCTTCCCTGGTCATCGGGACCCTGTCCAGCGTTGGCCCTGCCCCAGCTGGATGAGGCAGCATGGGATCAGTAGATGCCCCGTGGCCACCTGGGTGGCCCGTGTATATGTCGGGCTTGTTGTCACTCCCGAGAGCAGGTGTGGTGCTGGTGGCTGTTACAATGGGCTCACTGTCCCGGGTGGGCCCCAGCGGCCCTGGCTGGCTAGGTTAGCATCCCAAGGTCCCTCACTCAACCTGCCTGTCCGCAGTGGACATGGCTCGCGGGCCTCTGTGGAAGAGGCTTCTGTCCTGCCCTGACGCCACCTTGCACAATGTCATTGACACACACACGTTGATTTTTTAACCAGAAACTTTAGGGACACCTGAGCGGGAGCCGTTTAGGGCTGCTGCAGCCGAGTGCGTACAGCCAGGCAGGGCCTGGCCACTTCCCCCAGGTGCTTCCTGTCCCTCCTCCTCCTCTGGGGCCAGGGATGGCGCCCAGGCCCTTGCTCAGGCTGAGCTCTCACTCCACCACTGGCCGCTCCGCAGCCTCCTTTGGAATAAGCTGTTCCTCCAGGCTTCCTGAGCCCCTCTGTCTGCGCTGGCCCAGCGCGTGGCCCCAGAGCCCTGGCCCCTGCACACGGGCCTGGCCTCCCGCTGCGGCCTGACCGCCGGGCCTGGTCTGCCTTCCCGCAGCTGTCCTGGCCGTCCTGCTCTGCCCGCCAGCTGTGGCCCCCGTGTGGTTGGCCACTTTTTCCCGTCGGGCTGCCCAAGAGAGGGAAAGAAACTGAAGTTGGACCTGCACGTTGAGAGACTTTGTTCCGCCCGCCCCGTCCGCCCTGTCCCGTCCCGTCCCATGTCCCGTCCGTCCCCAGCCTCCCCGCCCCCGCCCCCCAGCCCCAGCCCTGCAGAGCCCAGTCAGGCACCGCAGAGTTCTCTAGAACTCCTGGGCCGCTCTGGAGACGCGACAGTGTGCTGTTGGGCCTCATGGCAACCCTGTGGCCTTGGGAGCCCTCTGCAGCCCTGCCCCGTCCTCCGTCTCCAAGGACCCGCAGAGTTACCTCTGGCTGTCCTGCTGGCACTGTGCCAGGAAGAACTCACTGCCAGCCCCGCCCGTGCTGCGTCCTGGTGCCGCGTCCCAGCAGCCCAGAAGGCGTGCCCCAGGGAGGGACTCCAGCCCAGCGCCCAGCGGGCAGCTCCTACGTCCCGTACCCCTTGGCCAGTTTGTCCTGTGCACAGGACCCAGCTCTGTGACTCTTGTGCTGGGTGCGTGGATGGACGTCTGTCTGCCTCCCACCTGCCCTCTTCCACGCCCCGGGGACAGACAGTCATGACCTCCTGTCCAGCTGGGCTCCATGCTTAGCCCTGCACAGAGGTTGACTAGGACATCTTGGCCCGTCTGTGTCCCCTCCCACTGTCCTCATGCCCTCTGGGGTCCTCAACACCCCCACCTTGGCCCTGAAGCAGCTTCAGGAGCGACACCCAGGAGGGGAGGCAGGAGCAGGGCCCCTTGGACACCCTGCGACCCTGCCCAGCTGCAGGGCAGGCTCGGCTCCACCAGAGGGTGGCATCTTGCAGTTGGAGCCCAGGCGCCCTGGGTGTGGGCTGCGTGCCAGGGGGCAGCGTGTATGTGTGTGTAGGTAGCCAGTAGGAAGAAGGGCGGCGGCCGGCCCCCGGCGCCCCTCAGGCGGCCCAGCGGACAGCCAGCCGTGTGGAGAATAAAGAGACCTTGTGGCTTTGTCTTGTCGTCTCTGACGCCCGGCCCTCCCTCCCAGCCTCACCTCCAGGAGCCCGGCCCGCCTGGCGCCCCCAATCCCATGGAGCCCACAGGTGTTCCTCCTGGGTTGGGGTCACGGGCACCTGGCTCCTTCCCGTGATGTGGTCCCCTCCCCTCCCTGGTGCAGAGGATGGCACCTGGCCCAGCTGGGGGCAGAGCAGGATCCCCACCATACGTGGGCCCTATCGTAGCCTCCCAGAGTGACAGACATGGCCTGGGTAGCCGCTCAGGAACCTTCCAGGCTCCCTGTACCCCCGCCAGGAGCTGAGTGGGGTTGCTGTGGGTGCTGTGGCGCCTCAGCTCTGGGCTCTCAGTTCCCACCGACAACCACTTACAAGGACAGAAGCCACGACTGTCACTGGCCCAAGGTCCCCCGGCCAGGGAACCACGGAGCCAGGTGGAGCCCTGCTCTGTGAGAGAGTGGCCGTCTCCCCCGTGGGCCCCCGTCCGCATTCCTGTCACAGAGAACCGACACACGCAGGGGTGGGATTCAGGGTCCAGTCTCCACGCCCTTCAGTCACTGTGGAGACTGGAAAAATTACACAATGTCTGCAGCCTGTAATCCCAGACCTCGGGAGGCTGAGGCAGGAGGACTGAGGTTCAAGGCCAGCCTCAGCAACTTAGCACGAGACCCTGTCTCAAAAAATAAAAAGGGCTAAGTGCTCTGGCTCAATCCCCAGATCCCTCAAAAAAAAAAAAAGGTGACGTGCATGAGCAGGAGAGGACGCCGGAGGAGGGGCTGTCTGGCCCCCTGAGGAGCCCTGGGCAGAGCTCACGTTCTGGGGTCCCAGGCCAGCAGCAGCAGTACTGCCTGGGACCCGAGTGGCCAGACCGGTGCCTAGCTACCAAGTCATCCAGGTGTGTGACCCTGCACACACCAGAGCTAGAAGTCCACCTGCCGGTCTGCACCCCCGCTTCCCAGTGTTGAGGGCCACAGCCGAGTCGGGAGGACGCGTGGCGTTTTTGCCAGAAGTAATGGTTGAGAGGTGACCGCGCGCCATTAAGGTGATGATTTTGGAGTTCTCGCGGAGTCCCCCTTGAGCTCTCGCGGGGATTCCTGAAGAGTCGCCTTGGTTGGGGAAGTGCCGTGGTGGTTCCTGGAGGAGCCACCTGGCGTTGGGGAGAGTTCCCGGGGAGCGTGTGTGGAGTGTGCTGGTGGAGCTCAGAAATAAAGTTTGTTCCTGCTCCAGTGGCTCATGATTTGTGCCCAGCCAGACGGCGGCACCCAGTCACCCCAGAAGTGCACGTCACCCATCGGCCCCACGTGCAGAAACCCTGGTGCACACAGATGTGAGCTGCATCCCTGAAGCCACCGTGGAGCCACACCGGTCCCAACCGTCTGGTCTCACCATGATGGCCTGCAGGCCACTGCTGGGCAGGTGGGGGGCTGTGGGCAGCTTGCAGGGCCAGGACTTTGCTGGGTGGCTTGATGAGAAGCACATCGCGGTGATGCCGTCAGCTCCGCACAAGTCAGAAATGCACATCTGAGTGCTCCTGTCACTAGCCACGGCTCCCGGGGAGCAGCTGCTGCCACCTTGGGGCCCAGAGTCACAGCCACGCTGCCGCTTCACGCCCTGAGGTGACATTCCCTGGACCGGACCCACCTTGCTGCCCTCCCGGGAAGCAAGAGGGGAAAACAGTTGGGTGTCACAGAAGCAGCAGTTTGCGGCCTGGGGTGGCTTCCCCCCAGGCTCTGCGGTACCTCAGCTGGAGGTGCGCCTGCCCTGGGACTGCTCTGTACCCTCGTGCCCAGGACGCCCCCAGCGCTGGGGCTCGGGATGCCCGTCGCCGCAGATCCTGGGGCGACTGTCAAGCAGTTGTGTCGAATCACTTGCCCCCAGGAGGGGGATCTGCCCGCTGGCTTTAGAATCTCTCTACGCAGAAAAGCATCTCAGCCCAGAGGGGTGACTTGGGGACAAAACGCAGCGCGCCCGCATCCCAGGCCTCGGCGACTCCCCTCGCTGAACACGAGCCTGCCGCGGGCGTTTGGCCGGCAGGGGGCGCGCGGGGCCGGCGCAGCATCAGGACCTGGCGGAAGTATGGGCCGTGGAGCTCCCCGCCGCGCCCTGAGCCCGCCGCGCCTGCAGCCCCCGCTGACCTTGCAGAGCCAGGAGGGGGTGCCTGCCGGTACGTGCGCTCTGGAGCAGCACCCGACGGGGGGTCAAAGAAAGTGCCCCCAGAAACCACAGGCTTGGCGGTCCGGTCCCCCTGTTTCCACTGTGCCAGGCGCAGGTGTCGGGGCGCAGACAGAACCACCTCCACCCGCCCTGCCGGCCCCTGTCACCCCAACCAACGTGGTCATCGGGCCTGGAGGGGTCCACCTTGGCCCCACAGCCCCCTCCCACCAGCCGCCCCGGAGCCGCCTTGGACCAGGCCTGCCCACAGGAGTGGGCATCATGCGTGGGGGTCAGCCTCAAGAGACCCTCTGGCCCAGAAGGCAGCCCCTGACGCCGACAGCCGCCGCCCAAGACTTGGCGGAATGGCAGCGGGGAAAGGAGACTTTGCAAGGCACCTGAGAAGCAGCAGCTCAGCAGGGGCTGGAGTCGCCGTCCACACGGCCAGCCACGTTGGTGCAGGGACCCTGGACATGAGGTCAGGAGAACGGCCCCCCAACGCCCTGGCCCTGCAGCTACAGCGTCCGTCCAGTCAGGAGGGTCAGAAGGGTCCCTGGTCACGAAATCAAGGCAGGTGGCGAGACTGTCACAGCCAGCGGAGCCCAGGGACGTGGTACTGGGGTCACCACTGGGCCCGGGGCAGAAGAGGACACTGGGAGAATGAGTGAAGCTTGGACTCCAGTTCATGACCGATGAGCGCCTGTCCTGGGTGTGGCACCCGGTGTGGCACCCAGGGCGGCCCTGAACGTGGCCACTCTGAGACAGCCCGGGGCTACGCTGCTCTTCCTCCTCCTCTCCCTAGCCCCGGGGGCTGGACCCAGGGGGCTCACCCCCTGGGCGACTGGCCCACAGCCGTGATGCCCGCCCGCGCTCATAGTGGACATGGGGGTCGCAGGCGTCTCTCCCGATGACCAGGCACTCGTGACATGAACCCGGTGCGGCCACTGAATTCGGGAAATGAGCCAATTCCGACATGACCCTATCATGTGACCCACATCTAAACTGTGTTGTTCCTTCCCTCACATTTCTGGAAGCCTCTTCCTAAACCAGGATCACCATCACGTCTGCTCGGATCTGGACGGTTGTCCAGGTTTTCACAGCCTCCCGTGACGTTGACACTCGGGGGACACCAACCAGCTGTTTAGACTCCACCTGGACCGCGGGAGCCTGTCCTTATGCACAGACGTGGCCGCTGGTGCCCACCCAGCTCACGGCAGCCCCGAGTTCCGTCCCCAGCACCAAGACCTGGCGATGAGACGACATGGGGTGGGGGTCCTTCCACGGTGTCCTCATTTTGGCCGGAAGAGTACGAAGCACTATGGTGTTCTCCCCGGTTCTCCCTTGGGAGCCCAAGTGTCACTTTGGTCCCATGTGGGTGACACTATCGTCGACACCCTGCTGTGGAGAGGGAGGCTCCGTCAGGCTGTGTCGCTGTGAAGTCCCTTCTACCCACTTACTAAGAAGTCTGTGGGGGACGCGGGAACTCCGCCCCCGGTTCCCACACTCACGGGACTCTCAGGCTCCCACCGTCCCTGCTCCTGCCAGCTGGCCTTGGCACCGTCCCCCACCTTCCTCTGCCCCAGCCCAGGTGACAGACCCACGCTGCGGATGAGCAGAGGTCACCCTTGCTCGCGTCGTTAGGTGTCTGGTCTTGGTGACCGTGCGTGGCCAGCACCTCCCTTGGCGGTCACCAGGCGCTGTGTCCCCAGAGCACGGAGTCTCCAGGGGCGTCTGGCTGTGCCCTTTCAGCCGTGCCCCCGGGGCCGTGCACACTGCAGCCCCCGACACAGGAAAATAAAAGCGCCAGGACACTGAGCGGCGCCCTGGGGCCGGGATGCAGCGGCCCTCCTACCCGTTCACCTGGCGCCGGGCGCCCCGACTGGCTCCAGCCTGGCCACGTGGCGGTTGGGGTCTTCTAGGTCCCCGCCTTTGTGGAAGGCCTGTCCCAGGGTGGTGTGGGCGGGAGGTGGGGACCTGGTGGGAGGCCTGGGTCCCTGGAGGCATGCCCCTGCTGGAGGTGCGGGAGCCTGCGCCCTCCTGCCCTCTTCCTGGCCCCGGGGTGGGCAGTTCGGTCCTCCACGTGCCCCGGCCAGGAGGAGCTACCCGCCCCAGCCCGCTGTCTGTGGACCCAACCTGCAGAGCCGCAGGCGGAGCGGCCCTGGGCCCTGGTGGGTGATGTCTCAGGCCCGTGTTGTAGCCGCGGAGCGCAGGCGCTGGGGTGACCGCCCTGCCTGCCCGCAGCTCCGGGTGCCCTGCTGGGTAGGTACTCAGGGGAGGTGGCCGGGTCCTGGGCAGGTGTCACCCGATTCTTTCCTGTGCCAATCAGCCGTGTGTGAAGGTCCCCGATGTGAACGTGTTTCACGTCTGGCGTGTCTGTTTTCAGTTTTAAAATGTCCTATTGACTGGAAGTAGCCCAACATCTCCCAGGCAAACAGAGGAACCATTTTTAGTGAATCCATACAATGGAATCCTACAAAGTCAACAAAGCCAAGGAGCCCGAGTGGAGGGTCCTTGGTGGACACCTGCTTTACTCCACCCTGCAGGACCGGCTGCCTGTCCTTACGTTACTGTGCCTCTTGGGTCTGTCCCCCTGTGAACTGCCGCCGTCCCTTTCCCGGCTTCATTTTGGGACAGTCATTCTGGGTGGAGCGCAGCGTCTAGCATGTGATTGACATTTCCTGGGGCTGGGTGGGGCTCAGGTGGTTCCACCCTCAGCACTGCATAGAGGTAAATAAATAAATAAACAAACAGACAAACACAGGGATCCTGTCCATCTACACCTAAAGATATATCAGGTCTCTTTCCCTCTGTCTTGTCACTTTGTACCACATGTGGAACCCAGGGGCACTAACCACTGAGCCTTTCAGAAAATATTTGATTTAGAGACCGGCTCTTACTAAGTTGCTCGGGGCTCACTAAGAGGCTGAGGCTGGCTTTGAACGGTGGCCCTCCTGCTCCAGCCTCCCCAGCTGCTGGACGACAGGTGTGGCTCGCAGGTCTCACGGCCACTTAGGGCCATTCCTAGTGCCTCGCGGAAGGTGATTCCTCCTTTGTTTTTAGTTGTCAGTGGACCCTTATTTTGTTCTGTTTACATGTGGTGCTGACCAGGGAACCCAGTGCCTCACCCGGCCAGCGACAGCCCTGTGGATGCCCCTGAGATACTCCGTGCGGTCAATCCACCTGGGCTGTCCTGTGGGCCCCGGGGACACACGGTTCTGGTGCAGGGGTTTGGAACATGCGCTGACCTCCTGCAGCTCCTGCCCGGAACCTTGCTTCCCGACTGACCTGCACAGATGCGGCCCTTCCCCGTGTTCCCTCGGAGGCCCCTGGTCTTCGCCTGGTGTGCTGCTGCCACAAACCGTCTTCTCGTTGTGAACTGTGCAAGACCCGAAGAGTCAACTGCTCAGTGTCTCCTAGTGACCAGCTGGGGACCATGGTGCCGTGGCGTGCACCTGCTGTCCCCGCGCCCAGACCTCAGAGGCCCCTGGAGCCCAGGGCTTGAGGCCAAGCTGGACCACGCAGACAGACCCCTTCTTTAGAAAGGATTTTAGAAAGCACGAGGCACGACTTATAAATAGCCTCTGGAGATCCTGGGTTCCACCACGAAGCGACCTGGGGGGGGGGCGGTGACAGTGGCATTCAGTGTGAGTGCCTGTGGCATGGCATGGGGACCTCCGCAAAGCCAGGTCCCTCACAGCCTCCAGGGCTGCCCCTCCGCCAGTCCCTCCGGCATCCACCTCAGCACTCAAGCCAGAAGGTGAGTCCCCGACGCTCCTCCTCTGAGACCCACCCGGCAGGCGGCAGCCTGCCCTGCAGCGCACCCCTCCACCCTCCTCCTGCCCGGAGGCTGTCTTCATCCAAACCATCACCAATTCCTACTCCCACGATTCTTAACTAGTCTCCCTGCTTCAGGACTTGCTCCCTAAAATTCAGCCTCTTTTCCTGTTTGTACTAGGGTTTAGAGCCAGGGTGCTCTACCCCTGAGCTTTTCCACACTTTTTAATCTTAGTTTGGGACAGGGCTCACTAAGTTGCCCAGGCTGGCCTCAAACTGTGATCCTCCTCCCTCAGCCTCCGGTGTTCCTGGGATTACAGGCAACAAACAATGAAGCCTTTCTTCATGCAGAAGTTAAAATAACCTTAGAACAGTAGTTGGATTATGACCTTCACCTGCTTAAACCCTGTCCCTGAGTCACAGCTGGGTCTACAGCAGGGTTCCCAACGTCTCCCCTCCTGGTTGTTCCTGACATCCAGCCGCCTGCCCTGCGGCTTCCTTAGGTGCCAGCTCTCCCTGCCTGGTCGCCCACTCTCCTGTCCGCCCCTCCTGCTCAGCACTCTATTGGGCTGATCCCCACACAGTGCTCTTTCCTCTTCTTTCTTCACAGCATTTGGTACAGTCCACAGCTTTTCTGTGATGTACTGGTTGTCAAATTTCCCCAAGACTTAGTGGGAAGAAAAAACTTTTACCACCCCAGATCCTGTGGCTTCGGTTTCAGGATTCAGGTGAAGCTGAGCTGAGGCTCTGCCTTGAGTCTTCAAAGGCTGCATGTGACCAAGGTGTCCACTGGGGAGTTCACACGGGACAAGAGCCCTTCCAAGTCACCTGGGGGCTCACCCGGGTCAAGAGCCCTTCCAAGACCAGACGCTCGTGGTGGTAGGCAGGGTTCAGTTCACAGGCTCTGGGAGGGAGGCTCTCATGCTGACTGTTGGTTGGGGACACCCTCAGCTCCTTGCTTTGTGGCCTCCCCACAGCGTGCTTCATCAAGGCGTGTGAGCTGCGAAGGCAACAGGCAACCTGCTAGCAGGACAAAGTCACAGTTTTTATAACCTCACTACAGAAGTGACCTTGCATCTCTCTGGCTCCCCCTGCTGGTGTGGATCAAGTCAGGGGGCGCTGGGGTTGTGGGTCAGTGGTAGAGCACTTGCCTAGCACTTGTGAGGCACTAGGTCTGATCTCCAGCACCACATAAGAATAAATACATAAAGGTTAAAAAAAAGATAAAGTTCTAAAGGTTTTTTTTTTAAAGGAACCAAGTCATTGGGTTCTGTTCACAGTCGGGAGAAGTTACCTGAGGACATGGATGCGAGGGTGTGGGGCAGTGAGACCCTCCTGGAGACCTGCCCTGTCCCTCTCCCACCTGTGCCGCCTCTCGCTGGGCTATGAGCGGTGATGGGAGGGGCTTTGTTTCTTCTTCTATTTTATTCTCCTCCTTTTCCGTTTTGGGGATCAAACCTGAGGCCTTACACATGGAAGGCAAGCACTCTACCACTGAGCTACATCTCCAGTACATCCATTTTATTTCTTAAAAACTTTTAAAAAATTTGTTTTTAAAATTGTACCACTGAGCCACATCCCTTGCCCTAAGAGTGTAAATGTTATGCATAACATTTACACTCTTAACCATTTTGAAGAGCACACTTTTAGTGCTTTAGTGCAACCTCCCCATTTCCTCACCTTCCCAGACTGAAACCCTGCCCCTAAGAATTAACTCCCCATTCTCTTTCCATCCTGTCCTCAGGTTTTGTGAGTACACTATGAGGATTTGTCCTTTTCTTCTGGGTTATTCCACACACCGTACCCTCTGATACCTGGCTCATGGGTCGGCCAGAAAGAAGATCACAGCTAATAAGTGAATACAGTCTTCTTCATAAGTCTTGTTGCTTTGGAGGGGGTACATGGGAAGCCTGTTTTTCCCATGTTCCTTCCACCTTAGGGGAAAAAGATCAATGTTCAATGTTCAGCCTTGATTTTTTTTTATTTTATTTTTTTTTATTTTTTTAGTTCTCGGCGGACACAACATCTTTGTGTGTATGTGGTGCTGAGGATCAAACCCGGGCCGCACGCATGCCAGGCGAGCGCGCTACCGCTTGAGCCACATCCCCAGCCCCAGCCTTGATTTTACTTGGCCTGTCAGTGGTATTGAAAAAAAAGAACCAAGATGATTCTCTTGAAATCTGTTGGGTCTATCCTATCTCTCATCAAAATCCTGCAGTAATGCCAGGCTTGGTGGCACAGGACTGTTACCTAGCAACTAGGGAGGCTGAGGCAGGGGGGTTGCAAGTTTGAGGCCAGCCTCAACAACTCAGCAAGACCCAGTTCCAAAAATAAAAAGGGCAAGGGATGTGGCTCAGTGGTACAGCAGTTGCCTGGCATGTGTGACGCCTTGGGTTGAATGTCATCCCATCTTTTTAGGTCCTCTAAGATCTGCCTCCCCTTGTGATTGAAGTCGCCATGAATCTCTTGACCTTGAATTTATTCCTCAAATCAACTGAGATTTGTTGAACCCATATATATTCTTCTTAAGACTCCAGGAGGGGCATCATCAGAGAGGACGCTTTGAGAAGGACCGCTCTCCGTGGAAAATCGCTTCCCGCCAAATCGTCAACCCGAACAGAATTCAGCACCAGGCGCCCCTGGACAGCTCTGGAATCTGAACTCTTCCGGAACCATTCCTGAAAGACCCCAGTTTCCCACCGGAGTTGCCTGATGGTTGCTCCCGCAGCTCAGTAGGAGGAAACTACTTTTCCGTGCCGGTCGAGAGGTGGAGTCGCAAAATGAGTGGCAGCCTCTTCAACCAATGGAGAGGGGCGTTTTGCCAGCCGTGCCCAGAAAGACCAATGGGCGTGAGCGTGGGTGGGTCGTGGGCCGCGGCGCGCCGAGCCTGGGACTAGCCAGGATCGCGGCGGCGGGGTTGGGACCGCGCAGCGGTTGGCGGTGGGCGGCTTAGCCAGGCGGCTTACGGCCGGAGCAGGTACGTGTGGGGTAGGGGGTGGGCCCGGGAAGGCGGGGGCAGGGCCCGGGCCTGGCGCACTCTGCCCGCCGAGGCCTGGCACCCACCGGGCACACAATAGGCGCTTAATAAGTGCTGAATTAATGTGCCCTCTGTGTCCCAGCCCCAGTAGCTCCCAGTTGAGAGCATCCAGGCCACCCTCATTCTCACTTTCCGGAAGGGGGCACTCACACACCCATTAGGTATTTATTGGGCGCCTGCTGTGTGCTTCTGTGCCTCTCTTTGCTGGGGGCTGCTGGGGGCTGCTAGGGGCTGCTGGGGGCTGCTGGGCTTGAGCAGACAGACTCCCCTGCCCCTGCGTAGTTCACAGCATGGAGAGAGAAGTGCCTTTAAATGTCTTTAATTAATAAAGTTTCCCCAGTGCACAAAATAGAAGAAAATAATGCCAGAAAAGGGGAGGGAGGAGGCAGCTGTGACCAGGGACATCAGAGCAGAGCCTAGAGCCAGGGTGAGGTGAGGGCTGGGCCATGAGAAGGGCTGGCACCTACTTGCGGGAAAGGAAATGAGACTCCACTCAATAATGGTGACATTTTTGGGTCCAGGACAGAATCCACTGCACTTTGGCCCAAGGCTCCAGCCCGTCCAGCCAGTGGTTGCCGAGCATCTGTTGTGCCAGGCCTCGCGGTAGGTGCAAGGGACCTGGATTAGAGCAGGGGTCGGCCAGGGGAGGTCCTCCCGGGAGGTCCTGGGGCAGCAGTGAACCAAAAGACGAGGATGCATCCTTAGAGATCTAGGGGAGGGCTGGGGCTGGGACTCAGCAGGAGGGTTCTCGCCTAGCACATGGGAGGCGCTGGGTTCCATCCTCAGCACCACATAAAAATAAATAAAATAAAGGTGTTGTGTCCACCACAGCTTAAGAAAGAAAGAGAGAAACTTGGGGGAGAAGGGTCTTCCAGGCAGAGTGGCCCTGAGGCAGGACAAGCTTGACACGTTCGAGGCCTGGGAAAGCTGGTGTGGGCCGAGGTGAGGCAGAAGTGGGTCACGCAGACCCCAGCCGTGGGGTGAAGAGCTGGAGTCTCAGGAAGGCAGGGGAGCAGCGCCCCAGGGAGTTCCGCAGCAGCGCAGGTGTCTGCTGGGTAGCCCACTAGGCTCCCGGGCACAGGCACAAGGCCGAGGACGCAGGCTCTCACGTTGTATCTGGGGTTTTCTTATGACTTTGTTTATGTGACGCTGAGGCTCGAACCCAGCGCCTCACACGTGGCCAGGCCAGCACTCTGCCCCTGAGCCCCAGCCCAGCCCCGCATCGTGTCTTATTTTAATTAACAGACACGTGACCAATGGCTGCCCTGGTTGGTGCAGTGCAGGGAGATTTTTCATGGGAGGAGTGATGTACGGGAGCCCTGGGGTGGGTAAGGGGTGTGGTGTGACTGTCCTGGGTGACCCCAGGCCAACGTGGCTGCCCCCGTGTCCGCAGTGGCCGAGTGCCGTCATGCACCTCCAGCCGCGTGGTCAGGCCCCGTAGCGCGGGTGTGTGCACCCATGCATAACCCGGGCCCTCGGTGACCACGGCGTCCCCAGCCACCGCCATGATGAAGTTGTTAGTGGCCAAGATCCTCTGCATGGTGAGCGTGTTCTTCTTCATGCTGCTGGGCTCCCTGCTCCCCGTGAAGGTCATCGAGACGGACTTTGAGAAGGCCCATCGCTCCAAAAAGATTCTTTCCCTCTGCAACACCTTTGGAGGCGGAGTCTTTCTGGCCACGTGCTTCAATGCGCTGCTGCCTGCCGTGCGGGAAAAGGTAATGCTCCCTGCTGACAGTTGGAGCCCTGGGCACCTTGGGGCCAAGGGGCTCTGATGGTTCACCAGCCCCGATACCAACTCCAGCGGGGGCCTTGATTCTGTGAGGACGGCAGGAAGGAGAAAATGGATTGCTGTGTGATCTGATACCGATTGCTGCCCCTCTCTGTGCCTTGCCTGGTAAACAGGGGGTTTGATTAGACCTGTGTTGGGACTAGACTGATGAGCCCAATGGGAGGTGAGTATCCAGACCCTCTGCCCACTCCAGGCAGCATGACGCTCCGTCCTGAACCGAGTGTGGCTGTTTTCCCGCTCCTGCGTCTGTCAGCTGTTGCTGGGTGGCAGGTCACAACAGACCTGTGTCTTCAGGCCACAGATGCTGTTGTCTCTCAGTCTCTGTGGTCAGGAGTCTGGGCACAGCCTCACTGTCCTGTGCTGCAGGGTCACCCAGGACTGCTGCCCCCGACCTGCACGGGCAGCTGAACCTCAGGTCACTCATGTGAATCTCCAGGGACCCCAAATGCAACACAGACACAAGTTCCCTTTCAACAGCCTCAGGACGGCCTCTGCGGCCTCGGCCCCGGCTCCCCGAGAACCAGAGCCGGGAAGGCAGGGGAGACTGGCGGGAGAGGGGCAGGGTGGGAGGGGCTCTTACCTGGGGGCTCTTGTTCTTAGAAAGTTCTGTCCAAAAAAGGGCGGGGTTACCAGGGACAGGTGAGTGTAACTCAACCCTGGGGCACAGGGAAGAGCCCCGGCATCGGGACTGGAAGGTGCGGTTATGCAGTGCGGCTCCCCACAGGGTAGCAGTGGGGACGTGTCCTGGAGGGAATCCACCTACAGGCTCCCGTGGCCGCCGTCAGCCTGGGGCCTTGCCCATGTGCTCTGCTGCAGGCTGAGAGCGCTGGGCTCTGCCCCGAGTCTCCAGCTGTGGCTCAGCATGCAGTGACAGTGTGGCCGCCTTCTCCCCTGCTGGTGGGAAGCGAGGGCCAGCCCCCTGCCACTCAGGAGGCTGGGGCACTGGGGACGGTCTCAGGGTCTGTCTGCCATGACACCCAACCTGGTGGTCCTGCAGTGGCCCACTCCTCGAGCGAGCACTCCTTCAGGGCCCCACGGTTCAAGCCCCTCAGGGGGCCGCAGCGGGTGGCCTGGCCATGCCTGCCTGGTGACCTCAGGTGAGCTCCTCTTTCTCCCTGGGCCAGTGTGGGCAGGGCCTGGTGGACATCCTGGACTTCCTGTTCTTGTCCCTGGAGCTGGGCTGTCCCTTCAAGCCTGTGAGTGCCAGGGTGGCATTTTCAGTCGGCCCTAGATCCAGCCCTGGGGACATGTGCCCCCTGCCTGGTCCGCGGGTGGGGCGGGGAATGAGGGCCGTTGCTCCTATGGCCACGTCTTCTGGCTGGAGGGATTTCGTGACCACGGAGGTCATCAAAAGGCAAGTAAGGGGGTGGACCTGGCCGGCCTGGGGCAGTGCCCACCCTCCTGCCAGCCTCAGGGACTGAGAGCCAGGCGTGGGCAGTGGGGCAGTGAGGATCTGAGGGAGGCCCAGCCCAGGCCACCCCGCCAGCAGCCAGTGTGGGCGTGGGACCTCAGTCATGGCTGCCAGCGGGTGGGACTACCACCACCCGCGGCTGCGGACTGAGCAGAGGGCCAGCCGCCGTCAGAGCCGCACGGTGGCACTCAGTGTCCTTGGCCAGGCAGCTGTCCTCTGGGCACCTGGAGTGAGCGTGGCTGTGCCCCGAGAGGGTGACTGAGCCGTCCCTGGAGATCTGCACCCCGTGTGCCGCCTCTAGCCCCATTCTCCTCACGCCTTGACACTTGGGCGTCTGTGGGTGGCCTCCTGTCCCCTGCGGCCCATCCTCCTGCAGCACGTGCGGCCTCTGGGGTCCTCCTGGCCTCCGCACTTGGCCGCTCAGGGCCGTGCCCCTCCCTCAGCACGCGGAGCTCGCAGCCCGGCCCGCCACAGAGCAGGCCCCCTGCCTCCTGCACATCCTTTGGATCCGTGCTCAGCCTCTGGGAGCAGCAGTGGTCCCCGTGAGCCACCATGTCCCCAGGAGAGGCTCGCAGAAGCCTCCGGTGGCTGCTGAGGGAGCAGGTGAGGTGGCTTCTCTATGGAAACCATCTCCACTGCAGCAGGTTCTCTTCTGGGCCATCTGTCCCCGGGGTAACCGGGCCATGCTAGGGACACAGGCGGCTGTCCCGATTCGGGGTGCCCTGGCCTGGAGTGGGCCGTGCTGAGCACCCTGCAGGCCTGGGGTGGCTTGCCACAGAGAAGGCTCCTGCCCTAAATGCTCCCATTCTAATTATACACTCAAAACTGTCCCCAGACCTCGTGGCCATGTGTCCCCTGGGGGTAGACACCTGGCAGGTGAGGACCCGTGTCCCTTGATGAAATGACAGTGCGGGTGGGAGGTGGGGCTCCCTGCACTGGGCCCCGTGGCCTCGGAGAGTGGCCATAGCTGGCCCTGCCCACCGACCCCCAGAGGGTGTGCCGGTGTCCACAGGGTGCCTTCCACGGCACCTCGTCCTGGCAGACAGCCTGAGGCCTGGCGTCCACCCTGTCAGGTGTCCCTCTCACAGGAGCGTCTGTACTCCTGTGGCCCTTGGGAGCCAGGAGCTCGGGGCTCGGCATGTGGTCAGCTCTGACCCGTGGGAGGGAGTGGAGTTCGCCAGTTCGCCAGTCCCAGGCCGGGGCTGCGGCAGGTCACCCTACAGGCCCCACCGGGCAGAGAGCAGGGGGGCGAGGGACCCGGGCCAGGGCCTTTACTGTCGGGCGTCACCTGGGGGGCTCTGTCACCTGGGGGGCTCCGAGGGCATCTAGCTGGGGATCAGTGCATGTGGCATGGGGGCCTGGAGGTGCCTGAGGCTCCGAGGGTGTCCCTGGCACGTCCGCACGTCCTTTTGGGGTGTGGTCAGCGGGGCGAGTCAGGCAGCCTGCATCCAGCACCCCACAGTGAGGTGGTCACTGTGGTGGCTGTCCCAGGCAGAGGGCTGGCTGGACCCCACTGAGGAGCTGAGAGCAGGCCTGCAGGGGAGGCCGGGTTCAGGTGCATGTGGAGGGGACAGAAGCGGAGTCTGCCGGGCACCTGGTGTAGGTGGAGCACCGTGAAATGCCAGGGAGGTGAAGACCCGAAGGGAGTGGACGGCACGGTCCTGCCCTGGGGGTGTAGGCGCTCGGTGGGCCCTTCCACAGCCGCCTGCCGCAGCTCAGGTTCCAGGGGACAGGACCAGACTCCAGCCACACGTCACTCCCCTTGGCCACGTGTGGACAGTCTGGGAGTCCTGCCAGGCAGTGCCAGCTGAAGGTCCCCGGGTGGGGGCATAGCCTCCAGAAGCAGAGCTCCCCAACTGCCCGCTGGGGAAGCCAGCTCCACGCAGCACCCGCACGTGGGGGCCACACCTGTCATCCCAGCAGCTCTGGAGGCCGAGGCAGAAGGATCACAAGTCAGAGGCCAGCCTCAGCCATGTAGTGAGACCCTGTGTCAAAATAAAAAGGGCTGGGGAGTGGCTCCCTAGTGGCCTGCCTCTTCCCGTGGACTCCATGTGCATGGGCACTGGCCTCTCTGCACAAGGACACCAGGCCTGAGGGTCAGGTCCCACCCCATGATCCCGTCACCTTTTTGAAGCCTCCCTCTGCACATAGGTTTGCATTTTGAGGCCCTGGGGGCGGTTCAGTGGTGACACTTGAGTTGCATTCGCAAGACCCTTCCTCCAGGTGAGGCCACATGTGTGGTTCCTGGTGACGTCTCTCAGGGACACGGTTCAGCCCCCTGAGGTGCCCTGGAGTTGGCGTGCTGCATGCACGTGAGAGCTTCGGGCGGCCTGCGAACAGGGGGGGGTCTTTGGGTCCAGCACGGTGAGCACGCCTGCCCTCGCTGAGCTGTGGGCCTGGGGGCGGAGCCCAGGGCGTCACGCGGAGCTGCCCTCTGGGCTCACACTGAGCCTGACGGCCTTTCCCTGTCGCGTGTCCCCACTGCAGCTGCAGAGGGTGCTGAGTCTCGGGCACATCAGCACTGACTACCCGCTGGCCGAGACCCTCCTGCTGCTGGGCTTCTTCCTGACCGTGTTCCTGGAGCAGCTGGTGCTGACCTTTCGCAAGGAGAAGCCGTCCTTCATCGACCTGGAGACCTTCAATGCGGGCTCCGACGTGGGCAGCGACTCCGAGTACGAGAGCCCCTTCATGGGGGGCACTCGCGGCCACGCCCACGGCGCCGGCCTGAGCGTGCGCGAGCTGTCGCGCTCCGGGCCGCTGCGCCTGCTCAGCCTGGCCTTCGCCCTGGCCGCCCATTCCATCTTCGAGGGCCTGGCGCTCGGCCTGCAGGAGGAGGGGGAGAAGGTGGTGAGCCTGTTCGTGGGCGTGGCTGTCCACGAGACGCTGGTGGCAGTGGCCCTGGGCATCAGCATGGCCAGGAGTGCCATGCCCCTGAGGGACGCAGCCAAGCTGGCGGTGGCCGTGAGCGTCATGATCCCCCTGGGCATCAGCATCGGCCTGGGCATCGAGAGCGCTCGGGGTGTGCCCAGCAGCGTGGCCTCAGTGCTGCTGCAAGGCCTGGCAGGTGGCACCTTCCTGTTCGTCACCTTCTTGGAGATCCTGGCTAGGGAGCTGGAGGACAGGAATGACCGCCTGCTCAAGGTCCTCTTCCTGGTGCTGGGCTATGCCGTCCTGGCTGGGATGGTCTTCCTCAAGTGGTGAGTGCCCTCCTGGTTGCTGCCCCTGTGAGCCCTGGAGCCCCAGGCTGGACATGGGCTGGGACCTGCCGCTTCCTGGAGAGGGAGCGCCGTGAGCCTCGGCCTTCACACAGGAGGACCCCGGACCAGGCCGCGCCCAGCCCTGCGCCCCTGCCCGCACCCCAGCCCCAGAGCACTGATCCTCTTTAAAACACTCTGACGTACTCACCAAAGCTGTGTGGCCGTGTCAGCTGCCCGAGAGGGTCCCTAACTCGCAGGAGGTGGGGCGGGGCTGGTTTCCCTGCGGGGCCAGGCCAGACCTTCTCTTCCCTGCCACACCCCAGCCCCAGGCCAGGTGGGCACTTGGGGCCAGCTGGGCCCAGTGTGGGCAGTGCCTGGGATGCAGAGAGCTGGGGGCTGTGTGCTCCTGCCCGCTACCGCTGAGACCTGCCCTGCCACACCACGTCCCACGCCTGTGAGGTGTGTCGGCGCCTCCGTGCCACAGCTGGATGGCTGGAGCTCTGTCCCTCCTGCCACAGGAGCTGTGCCTCTTGGGGGACAGGCGAGTCCCAGTTACCCGCCTGAGCTCTGGCTCACACTGACCACTCAGAGGTGCCCTCGACTTTCCTTGCTTCTGCTGTGGTCCCCTGGAACGGGAGGCTGCTCTGCAGAGGGACGAGGCCCTTGGCTGGCGTCATGATTCCCAGACGTGGGAGGAGGCCAGGACTCGGCATGGTGATGGCCTCTCGGCCCCGCACACGCCAGGGTCTCCAGAGGAAGGCAGCACCAGCACAGCAAAAGCCCCTGGCACAAGGATGCCCGGGCAGCAGGGCAGGCAGCAGGAACAGGAGCCCTGGCCTCCCTCTGCTGCCTGTCTCCGCGGACCGGCTGCTGTACAGCGGCCTCCCTCTGGCCTCAGGCCCCAGCGTCCATCTCTGGGTCCAGTCACGGGCAGCTGGGGCCTCTCAGCATCACAAGGATCCCATTCCCTCACCATCCCCTTTGCCTGCCACCTGGCCCGCCTCCTCTGCCGTGTCCCAGTGCCACCCGGGGTTGGCTAAGCTGCCCAGCAGGGCAGGGCTCCCTCTGCCCAGGCTCCACGCTGGACCGGGCCTCCTGTTCCTCCCACTCTGGCCAGGACCGACTTGTCCAGGTGGCTGCCCCTGCAGTGTGACCCTGCCACCCGCTTGCTCCAGGACTCGGGGCTCAGGAGACCTGTCTGCTCACGCCCTGCAGCCAGAAGCAGGCCGAGTGCCTGGACCCCCAGACACAGCCCCTCCTGCCGCTGGGCCGTCCGCTCTCCCCGGGAGCCCAGGCAGTGCAGCCGGCGCTTGCCCAGGTGTGGGGACAACTGCCCCTCCTAGTTCTCAGCCTCAGGAGCTGTGGGTCCTGGGCAGCCGGGTCCCCAGGGGAGGGCACAGGGTCTGCATGTGGCTGGGCTGGGAAGGCTCAGGGTCCCCTGCCCTCCACAGCCAGCAGGGTTCTGCCCCTCCCTTCCCCCATCACTGCCAAGAGCACCAAGTGGTGTCCCTTTCCTGCCACACATCAGCTCCCTGGGGTGGCCCTAGAGACACCAGCAAGCCTGCCGTATGCCACCTCTGTGCCTCACCCCCCTTGGCCCTCCAAGACCACGTGGCCCCCTGAAGGGCCTTCCCTGAGTGTGGGGAGATGCCAGGTGCCCACTGAGCAGGGCCCAGCCTGCCCCACGGTTAGACCCTCAGCCACCAGGCAGAGTCCAGGGGTGGGGTGTCCCGAGGTCCCCAGGCATGGCTGCGGCTGCCACCCTGGACTCCCCCTACCCCCCGCCCAGCCCCACCCAGGACGAAGGGCCACTGCCTGCCTCCCAGCTACCGTCTCCACCCACCAAAGTCCTGCCCTCTGGTCCCCACCTGTCTGCTGCAGCCCACCTCTGGGGCATGGGGAAGGGCGGACGTGGCCTGGCAGCAGGTGTCTCTGGTCTCTTGTGGTGGACAAAGAAGTCGGTGTCTCCCGTGTCCCTGGCCGACTTGGCGAGTCCAGCCGGATCCTGGTCCGTGGCCCCCGGGCACCCTTACTGCCTGCCGCTGCACACTGGCCACCAGGGCCCAGCCAGTAATCCCGAGTCGTGGGAAAGGCTCCGTCCACCTGTGCGGCCCCAGCCCGGCCACGCCAGTGCCCATGGGAGTTGGGGTGCTCCTAGGGGGTCTCAGGGTGACGCTGCCCCAGGGACACTGAGCCACGTCTGGGGACATTGGTGGCTGCACCACAGGAGAGTCCATCACAGACCACTTCGTCGATGGGAACAGCGGCTGGAGCCACCAGATCCCGCTCCTTGTGGAGATGGGGGCGGCAGCGGCTCGGCTCCCAGTGAGGCGGCCTAATAACAGCGTGTCAGGCTCCCGTGCGGCTTGTTTGCGTCTCTGCTGCCGAAGTCATTAGCGCAGGCGGGGGCGCGGCTCGGCCCCCCCAGTCTCGGGCCCAGAAAAGCCATGGCACCTTTGGACCTGCCCTACGCGCCCCTGACCCAGCGGCCGCCCCTGCCCTACCTGGGCCCGAGTCTCGGGTGGGCTTCGGGTCAAGGCCAGGGGCCCGTCACTCCTGAAGGTCCAGGCTTCCCCCTCAGTGGCCCCTGGCCATCCCAGCCCCTCCTGAGCAGCAGGCAGGGGCCCAGGCTCCTGAGAGCACCGGAGGGTCCCCTTGGGATGGCTGCCGCGGGGCGCGGGGGCCAAGACGCATCACACCTCTCCAGCTCCATCCTGCCCCCTTCCAGGCCTCTGTAAGCTGCACCTGTAGCTCCTTAGACAGGGACACAGCTGACCTCTGCCAAGGGCAAAGTGACCACTGTGGGGAGGACCGGCTGTGGGAGGCAGCAGGGCCCTGCAGCCCTGGGGCACAGTGGCAGCCGCGGGTCCTGCTTCCTCCTTAAGGGATGTGACTGGGGGGGGCCCTCTCTGGAAGGACCCACTGGGCCTCGTCCCAGCTCCGTCAGGCCCACCAGACTGGCCCGATGAGATGGCCCTGGAACAGGGACTGTCCCCTTGGCACTGGGGACCTCTGGGGCGGCGGGTGTCGTGGCGCCAGCAGCACTCTGGCTCTGGGCTGGGCTGGGGCAGTGTGACCTGTGCCCCTGCTCCAGGCCCTCCACGGGCTCCTGGCAGAGTGCTGGGGGTCAGAAAGGACCCTGGTGAGGCCCAGCCCAGGTCCAAGGCCATCCCATTCTAGAGAGGTGTGCCACATCCCCTAGCAAGAGTGCCCTGAGGAGAGGAGGCAAAGGGACCTTCCACCCAGGGGCCAGGTGACACCTGAGAGGCACCAGCGGGAGAGCAGTCCGTCCCCAGGCCCTGGGGCCCGCTGCAGCTCCTGGGCCTGGCTGCTCTGCCGAGAGCTGGGGTGTTCCGGCGCTTTCCTGACAGAGGGAGGCTGCAGCAGCTCCCCTCCTCCAAGGTGATGGTGAGGAGCCCCGTCCCTCAGGAGCGTCCGGGCCACCTGTGGGGCCAGGCAGGAGGCACGTGTCCTCCGTGGTGGCCTGTGGTCCTGGGGAGATGCTGATGGGCAGAAACGGGCTTAGAGACGGCAGCCCCTTTGTTTTGGAAGACAAGCTGCGTTGTGACCAATGACCTCCTCATTTTAAAATATCGAACAAGAAGCCCTGTGGGCCAGACCCCACCGCCTGAGGCCGTGGCGGGCAGCCTCTGCTCACCTGCAGGTGGTATTGGTCCCTAGAGAATGCAGAGTGAGGCCAGCTGCCTCCTGCCCAGGCCAGCCTGGGGTGCCCAGGCCTGGCGTGGCCCTGGCCAGGGGACTGGGGTGAGATCGGGTCCCTGGGGTGGCAAGGCCAGGTGGGGAGCTGGGACTTTGCCCTGGCACTTGGGTGGGAGGTGGATCTGCAAGACAAGACCCACTAAAGGTCCCTGGGCTGGGCCCCAGATGGCCAGGGGTGGAAGGAGGGGCATCAAGATCAGCCCCCAGACCCAGCAGCCTGTGCTGTTCAGATCCTGTTGGAACCAAGTTCTAGTCCAGGTCCTGCCTCTTCCTCGCTGAGCCACCTTGGGCCAGTTGCTCCCCTTCTCTGAGCCCTGGGGGCTGGACGCACTGGGAGCTGTTAGCATGGATGAGTGGGGAGCTGGAGGGGCTGGCTAGAGCTGGGGATGTCCTCTCCCTGCCCAGAAGCAGTCGGCACCCGGGGAGCCCAGGGACTCTACAGGGAGGGAGTGCCAGGAAGGGGTGCTGCCTTGCCTTGCTCTGCCTCCCGGGGTCTGCTCTCTCCAGTGTGGGAGGCCACAGCTCCCAAGGAGGGGCAGAGTTGACAGTGCCCATCTCCTTGGCCAGCCATGGGAGAGGCAGCACTGCCACCCTTGTGGGGTGTTCCCATGTCCCAGGGAGAGCAAGGAGGGACCTGAAGTCCCTGGCTCACAAGGCCAGAGCCTGGCCTGGGATCTATAAATAGCAGCAGAGCATGGCGTGCTGCACGGTGCCCACTCTCCTACCATGAGTCAGCCTGCCCCAGCCTGGGAGAGCCAGAGAGCTGGCCAGACCCCGCCCAGGGCCCTCCAGTCATTCAGGAGACTGGCAGAGAGCAGCGGGTGTCAAAGTGGAGGGAGCAGGGCGCCCATCCTGAGCCTGTCTGCACTTAGCTGTTCCCAGCAGCCCTGAGGGGCAGGAGTCCGAGGCCCAGGGAGCCTGGCTGGGCAGGGTTGAGCACACCCTGAAATGAAGGCCAGGCCACCCTCTAAGGCATCCTGCTGGGCCAGCACAGAGCAGGATGGGAAGGAACCCGGGCCTCAGACCAGGAGGCTGCACCTTGACCCAGGAGGCAGAGGGAGGCCGAGATGGGAGGACAGGACTGAAGTCAGGGAGAGAGGCCCCTGAGCCCTCCTGCTAAGTCCTGCCTGGCAGGAGAGGAGGGGGTGGTCCTGGAGGCAGTGCTCCCTGGACCCCAATGTCCAGCCTCCTCCACCATCTGCCAGGTGGGGTCGAGGAGAGCGTCTGCTGTGCTTCATGCGCGCACAGGGACACCTCAGGCACATGCACCAGGGTTTATTCCCAGACATTGTGGGGAAGACCAGCGCCTCCCCAGCAGAAAAGGCGAACCCGCTGCCGGGGACCCAGGCAGCCTGGGCAAGGTACCCGCTGACCCGAGGCCGGCCCCTCGGCCTCTCCACCTTATTGATCCCTGTGTTCATTCCGCCAGGCGTCCCTTGCAGTCGGGGTGAGCTCGACCAGGACCCGCCAGCCCTACCCGCGGCTCCGCCCCAGCCCCTTGCCCCTCCGGCTCCTGGCTCCCGCGCATCCTGGGCGCAGGGGCTCCCGCTCGGAGCTGGGGGAGCAAGACCCGC